CAACTTCCAAAAGTGGTCCGACAATGGTGTGTTTTGTACATTTGGACTTCGAAATGTGCTTCGCGCCACAACGGCGTGCAATTTTTCATCTCTCATCTGGCCAGCTGGCTCCGCACCCGCCGCTTTAGCGAGCCTACTTTTCGACCCTCCGGAGCCTGAAATCATTGGAAAAACACAAGGTGTTTCGCGACTTTCCTACCTTTTCGCGCATCTGCATCTTCTTTCTTCTGACTCTTTCTCTTCTACTATTCTCTCTTCTAATCTTTTCTCTTCTCTCTGCCTCTGCCCTACTTTGCTTTTCATCTGTCCATATTGTCGGAAGTTTGACTTCTCAACTTCCTTCGACAACTACAACTGCGCACTACATCCAATAGTTGCGGTTGAGGTGACCACTGCAACCACTCCAAAAAACACAACTCCAACCACCATTCGGTCCATCAGTGGATTCGCTCTGCCATCCATGCCTCACAACAACTCGCATTTCCTATAGTTTCCTATTTTTGAAACATCCGCCGCCGCCTTTTGCGGCACTACTGGTATTGCAATAATTGCATGCGCCCCGTTCCGCCGATGCTGCTCATGAAATTTAAAGAAATTGAGTGCGAGCACTTAAAGGTGTGGCTTGGACTCTTGGTGCTTTTCTCGAGCTACTTATTTTGAATTGACAAGCGAGAAACACAAGAAATCAAGCTGGCAGTGATTCCGCTCTAAAGTCTCCAATTCAGGGCACAGGTGGATACCCCACGAAGAAAACACAGGAAACCAAAAACACCTGACATGGGACCATAGGGTGTGTTTATGTTTGTTTGCCACAGCCTGGAACTTCGACGATGCAAACTTTGGCAGAACACTTTGCCAGGTTGACATGGCCAAAGCGATGATTCAAGCCATCATGTCGCCACCAGCAGACACAGGTGCTGGGTGCCTTGGTTTTGTAGCCAATGTGCCCACTTTAGGGAATAGCATTGAGAATAGCATGTATAGAATTCGAGTGGTTGTCATGGGCCGATAGACGCTGCTATTCTTGCAAACGGCTCAATGGACAGTGTTCACTGGAACTTGCACCTGCGTTTGATGCTATGGATTGGTTGGTCTCGGTGGCTAACAATGTTCACTGCAATAAAATGCAATATCCAGCAAGAGTACAAGAACTAGGAAAGCAGAATTGGGTCGGGGTTAAGGCCGGGGTTAGATCAGGGTTCGCTCTCTGATCCCCGCCATTTTTCCTGTAAATTCTCGCATCAAATTGCCCTTGAGATCTCCATGTGTATTTTGATTGCGCGGGCTTGCACGAAGTCTCTGGCCCGAGTTTGTTCTGATCTTGGACCGAGGCATTTTTCCTATAAATTCTCGCGTTAATGACCCTTAAGAGATGTCATGTGTATTTCGATTGTGCAGGCTCGCACAAAAGGGGGTCGTTCTTGGGGCGCGGCATTTTTCCTCGCAGGGTCGCGCAGAACCTAGGACCTAGGCCTAAGTTCTGGGGCGCTTGCGTATCCCATGGCTTACAGTGCTTGCAGGTGCTTGTCTGAAAGTTCTTGTGCGAGGCTCTTAAGGGGTTCTTGTCCCAAGATCAGCAGATTTCTCTCAGTGTCTCGTACAGGTCTTTCTGAGAAGATCTTGTGGGGATCCTGTCGCAATCCGCCTCTAGCGGTCCTTGCATTGAGATCTGGAAAATCATTTGCCTTGGTGCTTGTCTGAAATTTTCCTGGGATGCTCATAGGAAGTTCTTGTATGAAGATCTTGTGACCTCCTCGTTTAGGATCTATATAGCAGGTCCTGCTACTGCAGTTGCGATCATGTCTAACCTCATCTGTTACTGTTCGACTTCTACTTTTGCTTAAATCTGGTACATTGATTTCCTACCCCCCCACACTGTTTGGGGCGTCTTGCCGGTGAATTTTTTCCCCAAACATTGTGTCCACACTGAGGGGTTCTTACGGCACGTGTGAAGGCTGGGGTTAGATCAGGGTTTGCGCCCTGATCCACGGCATTTATATTCTGTAAATTCTCGCATAGCAGTGCTCTTGTGAGATCTCCATGTGCATTTCGACTGCGCGCAAAGTCTGCGGCGCGAGTTTCTCCACAAGTCTTGGGGTGCAGCATTTTTCTTGTAAATTCCTGCAGAATATGGCTCGTGCAAAGTGGTTGTCGTCCTCTGGGGACCCGGCATTTTTCCTGTAAATTCTTTCGTTTAACATGGCGCTTGTGAGATGTCCATGTGCATTTCGACTGCGCGGGCTCGCACAAAGTGGTTGTCGCGCTCGGTGAGCGGCATTCCTGTAAGTTTTCGCGCAATATGGCTCTTGTCAGATGTCCATGTCCATGTCGATTGCGCAGGCTTGCACAAAGTGGTTGTCGCATTCCTGGGGCGCGGCAGTTTTCTTGTAAATTCTCGCGTAGCATTGTTCTTGTGAGATGTCGATGCGGCTAAGTTTTGGGCCCCGGCATTTTCCTTGTAAATTCTTGCATATTCGTCTGCGCATGCTCGCACAAAAGGTGCGTTGCACAGACCGTTGTGAGAAGATCTGGTGGAGATTCTTTTACATTCCTCTCTATGAGATCCTTGCGTGATACTGTACAGGCCCTTACCAGACGATCTTGTGGAGATCCTTTTGAAATCCTCTTGAGGTCCTTGCAGTAAGATCTTGCAGATGCTCTGAATTGGTGTTTGTATTAACCCTTTTTGTGGGATGCTCCTAAGAAGTTCTTGTATGAAGATCTTGTAAAGTTCTCTTTGTGTATCTATATCGAAGGTCCTGCTGCTGCATAACCTCGTCTGCAATTGTTCCATAGCTACATTTACTTCCTACCTCCCACACTGTTTGGTGTCTTTTGCCGGTGTCTTTTTTTGCGGTATATTCTATGATTGCAGCAACTTTCTCCTTGCCAAAAATCAGGTCTTTCAGTACAAAACCACGAAGAGGCAGAATACACATTGATTGTATTAGGCATGTTCATGCTTTTCCAAGTGAACTACTCATAAGAAAATAAACGCAGTGAGAAAAACGTTTGCGCATGCGATCACAGAAAATGGCAGTATTGAATGACTGAGTGAAGAGAGTTTTAGTGAACTTGTCAGAAGCGAGGCTGTACTGTAATGAATTTTCTTTTCCTGCAGGAAACGGAGACTACCTGGAAATCCCAAGAAGCGCTGTTGGTCGAATCATTGGTGCAGGGGGTGCTCGGATTCAGGCTGGACGTAATGCTAGTCCTTTTCAAGTGAAGATGTTGTAGGGGGAGGTAATTCTAGATGTCAGACATTTCTTTTCCAGGATCCTTTGAAATTGAATTCACACGACCCATGCAACAATTCCAACAATTACAACATGTCTATTTGTTTCATAAACAGGAGGGGTTAGAGTGTCACAACTCGGCTTTGCTTGGGGTCCAACTTGGGGTCATGCGTAGAGGTTTAGCTTGGCTAAACACTTGGTTTCGCTTGGCTTCGCTTAGTTTCGCTCAATGCAGGAACTCCAAGAACGTAGCGGAGCAAAAATTGACATTGACCGTCAACCAGATCGGTGCTTGGTGCCGCCCTTTGGAATCCTTGGTCGCACAATACCGATAATACAGGTACAATAGGATACAATGTTACTCTAGGATACTCCAGGTATGTTGCTCAATGTTGCTGCAGAAATGTTACTCGATGTACTCGGTTGTGCAAGGTTTTTGTGCGATCTCTTCGACGGTTGCTGTTTGTTGCCGCTTGCGGTCCCTTCACCGAGCTCACATGCCTTAGGTACGGTTTGGTGGCTTTGGAGAGAATGTCCAGCTTGCAAAGGCCCTTGTGACGGAAGTCTTGGAAGGCTAGGGACCCTGGAGGGAAAAAACACAATTGTGTTTTGCGGTGGCAATCTATGCAGCATATGCAGATACCCTGTTGTTATGTCCAATGAACAGACTGAGCAGGCTTCCACTGTAGTTCCCCTGATCTCTCAACTCTCAGGCCGAGATCGCACACAGCTCGCAGAAGCTGCAGCGACCATGGAGGCAGTGACTTGAAGCCATCGCGCCAGGAATTTTAATGATGAATCTGAAATGAATCTGAAATCAGTCTGAAATGAATCTTGATTTGATGGATTTGATGCAGATACCTCCAAGCGCTACTGGGAAGTTGATCGGACCTGGTGGGCGCCAAATCAACGAGATCCAGGAGCTGCAATATCATACAATATCCAGTAGCAAACAACTTCTTTTTCGACTTAAACGTATTGAAACCGCGGACATAGTTTGACCATGTTCGGTGTGCCTGACAGGAGAAGAGTGGAGCAAAGATTGACTTGGACAAGGTCTGGGAGAAGTATTGTTCGAGACCTTGTATTGATGAGTTTCTGTCAGCGGCCATAACTCTCCAATTCAAATTCTGATGTTGTTGTGGCTGCTGTGTGCGTGTGTACTTCTTTGGCATGTCCGTGTTGCGGCTGCATTCGGCGAACAGTGAAAGGTAGTGAGTAGTGCCCCAGTGGGCCTGAGTCGATCCATTGCGATACAGACCTGTTGCGTAGACCTGTGGACAAATCCATTTGGGCTACAGCGTGGCAATTTTCGGCAACCTGAACGTTTTTTTACATGTATGTTTTATAATTCGTTACTGCACCGCGGAGAGCTTGATGTGTCAGGGCCGTGACCCCTGCATCGTTCGGATGACGGGGACAGCTGATGTACTGGCCTTTGGTTAGGCTTTCTTTGTTTAACTTTGTTTCCTTTGCACTTTGTGTCACTTTGTGTCAGAGTGACAGTGGTTGCATTCCATGTCCATGCAGCTGCCGGCTGCGCACTGAGGCTGTCGCAGTTGCACAAGTAATGATCAGGGAGGCAGGCGATTTGGATGAGAGTGTCATGATAGAGTCTACCTGGAGTCTTGTACCAACGAAACTTCACATTTTAGACCATGCCAATCCTTGACGCTGTGCCAACTTACTGTGAAGGCCTCAGGCCCTGCCTGCTTTGCTTGGGTATTCAACAGACCTTCACCATTTTGGCTCAGGCTTTTCCCAGTATGTTTGCCATGTGTTCGAGTTTGATCATTTTTTGACATTTTGACTTGTTCGATCGTTTTCATCTGGCCCGGTGTGGAATCCCAGCAACATGACCCGGGGAGTATCGACTCCGACTGTTTGTTGCAAGACCATCGCTGACGCTGAGAGACTCAGGTATTGGACGAGCAATTGAAGCTTTTGGGCCATGCAGGCGGGGAGGATCACAGATTGAGGTCTCAGTGGAGAAATTCATTGGCGGAAAGAAATTACGGGTGTTTTTATATGTTGTTATTTTGTTCTTAGTGTATTTATTTGTTTATTTGTTTATTTATTTATTTGTTTATTTATTTATTTATTTGTTTGTTTGTTTGTTTCTTTGTTTCTTTGTTTATTTGTTTATTTATTTATTTGTTTGTTTGTTTCTTTGTTTATTTGTTTCTTTGTTTATTTGTTTATTTGTTTATTTCTATTTCTATTTCTTCACATTTATATTTATATTTATTTATTTAATGCACCTTCATGCGCATTGCAGGCTGTTTGGCTAGCATGGCAACTTGTTCGCCTCTCAGTCAGGACAGACAGAATACAGAAAGTTTCAGTGAAGAGGAAAAATCAGGGAGGCAGAGAGTGCAAGTGATAGACAGAACCGACGGCACAAACATATAGACACAGACACAGACACATATACACACACACAAGGCGCAGGTTTGGTCCTTGCCTCAACCTTTGCGCCAGACACTTGGGTTCTTCGTAGCATTTTTTGAGGTGCTTCTGGATTTTCTGGATCTGCTTGTTTACAAACCATTGGCATGTAGTACGGCATGTAGAAACTTTTGTTGAGAGTGCTTTCTGAATGCACCTCCAGGCCACTTTGCCGTGGAAGGCGGTGTTGAAGGTCTTCATCCCCCAAATATCAGGCAAGCTGCGTAGCGTAGAGGAGCGTACAGCAGCATAGAGCAGAATAGCGCAGCAATGATGTCTTGGCTTTGCGCAGCTTTGCCGGATGTTTTCATATAGTCTCAGACATAGTCTGATTTCACACGATAGTTTCAGATGCAAAGAACCTGGCCGAAGGCACTTCCGTCATCGTGAAGATCATAGCTTCGAGGCAGACAAAATAAAGTTCTAGAAGTTCTGTAAGTGGTTTCTTGGCAGTTTCGGCTGTTTCGTGTAGATGGTTGCTTCCTCAGGATGGTAGCGAATTCTCCCTCCATTGGGACGTGGATACCGATCCTGACTCTTTGCTGGACGGGGCTCTCAAACCTACACAACCTTAAATCCAAACCATGGTATCTTGGAGACAGAGAGTGTTTTAATGTGTTTTGCGATCCGCAGATCTGACAGGACGAGGCAGCATACTTGTGCTTCTTGTGTTGACGCTCTCTTTCTTGTCGAATTATAGATAGGCGACATACCAAGTGTTTCGGTACGAGATTTCTTCCATCACGAAAATGGTTTCAAAATGTGTTTCGATGCGTTGGTGCCCGGCGAGTGGCATTTCTGGAACTCTACAGTAATTGGTAGGCACGTGTTTGCATCAATTTAAGTTTTGAATGTATTACTTACTATTATTGTTTTTATTATCTATCATCATATGTGTACACACATGTGTACATATGCACACACAGTTTCTACCTTTGCGCATCTCTCATGAGATGCTCATTTCCAATCTGCGTCAGCACACCTTCCATTGCATGAGACCTCCACAAATCCACAAAACAAGATGCAATCCATCCAAAACATCAAAACATGCAAAGCATCCATCTACTTGACAGAAGCTCGGTCGTCATAATCTGCTTGGTGACAACAAATCCCCGAAGTCCAAAGACCCAAATAGTTAGGAAAAACATCAACCCAAAAAGTCTTACCTATAACCTGCTCCAGAAGCTTGCTTTTAGTTTTTTTGGGATTTGGGTGTTGCACAAGGTTGCTGGCGGCTTTCCGAGAAAACGTCATTCAATTCAAGCACGTTCTGCACTTGTTGTTCAGTTGCAAGTGTTCCAAGGAATGCTCAAATAGTTCAGACAACTGCTCCTTTCATGGCAAAGAAATGCCCTTGCAAAGAAATGTAATGGCAAAGAAATGTTGCCTTTTCCCGCGGAAATGCTGAACATATTTAACAATGCAGCACACCTACCAGAAATACTATTTTTCTAGAGCGATACTGCAATTTCGTGCAAAACAACTCTGCTATCTGCTATCTTTGAGGAGTGGCACACTTCTGCGAAGGAGTGTTATGTATGTGAATGTCAAGCTCGGATTTATAAAACCCGAGCAATTAATCACTATTGGGGCGGAATCCCCTAGTTGATCAACCAGGGTGTATTAATCCAGGGTTGACATTGGATTTAGACTTGTGAGTTTTGAAGTAGCGACGCACTTTGTAAACTGACTGCTCTCACTCTCTTTGTTGAAAGGAATGTCATGCTGCACTCTTTATTCAACACACACACACATATATATATATACACATACTTAGTGAAGTACTGTACTTGCTTGAAGGAATAGCACCTTCTCAAATTCTTTTAGCTTACCATGCAGCGCTTGCGCGAACTTATTATGCACTTTTTCTTAAAGGGCTGCTCTTGGTCATCGAATTTCCGTTTCAGGCACAATGCTGCTTTTCTCCGGAATTCACTTCTTTGAAAACTTTCTTTGATCAAAAGAACTTGCATTTTTTGAGGGGCATCACACTTTGATGCAAAGACTATCATTCTCTTCAAGAATTGACACACTATGGAAGAACACTTTCTGAGAGGGAATGCTGTAGTGTCGCGATTGCTTGTAATGTTGCACTTTCTCAATGAAATGCTGCACTTTCTGACATAGCTACAGTACTCTGATGCTGTCTTTTGTCAAAGACATATACTTTCCAAAGCCCTATAGATGGCCCTTTCTGGAAGCAGTTCTGCTTTGCTCCAAATGTTGCACTTGGCTTGCATTTGCTTGCGCGTGCTTGTATGGATACGGGCAAACCCATCAGTTTGCCCGCGCCGACGTCCGCGACGTGTCCGAACATGAAAAACACTGTATTTTGTTGGACAAAATGCCCATGTCCATGATCATGGCTTTCATCTTGCAACGCACAGCTTAGCAACCTGTGCGTTGAATGTTACATCATCATCATCATCATCATCATCATCATGAATATGATCATTAAGATTCCCTTGAATATGAAATTCAACGGCGGTGGGGATTTGACGATTCCCTAGAAACTCTTTTGACACATCTTGAAGATTTCCTTGGATAAAAAAAATTAGCGGGGGTGGGGACTCGATGACTCCCTAGAAACTTCTTTGAAACATCTTTAAGATTCCCTTGAATCAATATCCTTCCAACCCCCTAAAAAGTTGTCTGGGCGAACCCGGGGGTTTGCGCGTATCCAGGGGTTTGTGCGTATGGATACTGTTCGGATAACGTGAAGGTTGCTTTTTTCCCTCAGGACAGCTCCGCTTTTTGAAGGCATGGTGCCTGCCGCATTTTCTGAAAGGAAAAACAGTTTGCGAAATAGAGGCTGCATTTTTTTTGAGTGGTTTCAGCATGAAACACAGAACAAGTCAGAAGTGAATGTTTCGGGATGGAGGGCGGGAACATGTGCAGTGTCCAGGCCCAAGAGGCATGGCAACTGTTCCTGCCTGAGAGGCGTGAGGGGTGCGAGTTGCTATGTCCCTCTTTAGTTGTGGCAGCGGGGGCAGCAGTCAAAGCTCATGTACCTGGTCTCCAAGACGCACTTCCCCTTGAAGCAGACGTTGGAGACGGACGGAGAGACCAATCCAACAGAGATAAGAGGGCCACCAAGAAAAGACGCCTGGCATCCGACTTGGAAGAGCTCAGAACCGATCGGCAAAATGGAGGCAAAGGTCAACAAGGAAGCTCTGGAGGCAAAGATGCTGGAGGCAAAGGAAAGGGGAAAACTAAGGATCAGTTGGGGCCACCTATCTGTTCCAGCTGGGCGTCATCTTTTGGACCCTGTGGCGAGTTGGCTCCAGGCGCAGAATGCGTTAGTGCCATCAAGAGGGTGCGCAGGTGCAGGAAATGTTTGTCGCCCTCTCACCAGGACGCAGCTTGCACCAAGTGAGGTGGTGGCAAAACTGTCGTGTCGCTTTGAAGTCGTTTTGAAGTTGTGTTGGTGAATTCGGGGATGGGGACGAAGATTCCCAGCCCCCCGCCAAGGGAGTAGCAGTTGAAGGGGCGAGTGGCCATGCTGACCTGTTGGAGCGCGAGGCAAATAAGTTCGAGCAGGGCATCATGCGACCGGGTCGACACTGCGTTGAACAGTTCCCCAATATTCGACCATTTAGAAATGAGAGCGGACTACCATGGGGGGTGGAGTGGTGAAAGTATTGATTTTGCAGTTTTTCGAGATATGGAAATGGTTTGCACATGAAGCCACAAATCACGACTGTCCAGAATACTACAATTTCGCAGAGATGTTGTCTTCTTCCAAGAATGCTTTTTTTGTTTAGCATTTTGGAAAATAAAACAAGTCTATATATACATTGATTTTGATGCCTGCATTGAATTCTGCATTATATTGTTGTACATATTACCATATGTACATATATGTATATACATACACACTATTTGACAACTTTATTGTTTTTTCAAAATAGTTTATGTTTCTCGAAAAATATGTATTTGATATTGAACAGACATGAGTGCAATTTCCAGCTGCGAATTCTGCATTTTCTGAAAAGTGTCCTGCATCCTTTCATGCTGTTCATGAGTGCTTTTCACAAAAGAACATGTCCAGATTGAACATGCACTTTTCAAAAGATTGTTTAACTACGATTGAATCTAGACCTAGACCTTTTCCAGGCATCATCTATATTTTGCCTTAAAAGCGCTGCCTTATTGAAAAACAGTAACACATTTGCAGGGAAACAATACACTTTGTGCATGAAAGCGCAACTGAAACAAAGACTGCTGTATCTTGAACAAGTTTATTTTTGGAGATCACGCATCTTGAAAACAACCCTGCTTTCTGCAGTGAATTATGTACTGTACCTTTGTGAATTATGTAAAGATTTATTGCATGCTCTGCACAATTGCTGCCCCTTTCAAAGGAGATAATGGGCTGTAGGCTGTATTGAACAAAAATTGGTTGTATTCTCCAGCTATGGGCTGTACACTTCCTGCTAGGGGTATTGCATCCTTGAATGGCATATTTCTGATTTTTGTAGGAGTGATGTCTGAGTAGTGGGAGGGGGAAGGATTTGCGTTGAAAATATTGCATATTTCAACCATACATGCTTTTTGAAAAACTAGTACATCTTAGACTAGTGTTTTTCAAGATATAATGCATGACTACAAGAATGTTGCTTCTTTCAACCTATTACATTGTACAATGAAAAATTGAACCTTAAAAATTTTAAATGAACATGTCTGTTCAAAGGAATACCAACACTTCTTCAAGAAATGCGGTATCTGTGGCATGCAAGAGTTGCAAAGAAGAATAATGTGGCATTCTACAAAATAGTATCTGCTTCTTCCAAAGGAAAACAACATTCTTCTTTAGAGAAATCTTGTCGTGAGGGATACAATATTACCTTTTTGAAGGAGCAACCACTTTGAGACAAACATATTTTTTTGTACAACAAAGTGTTGCTTAAACAATCCATTTTTGAAAAATATATGTTTTATGTTGGATATCACTTTTTGTGATTCCAGGTTTGAAGAACACGAGCCAAACCTTTAAAGATGAGGAACCGCAACCTCGGCATACCAATAAAACATCAGTCCAGTGGAGTGCCTGAAGAGGTGGGTGATAGAGCTGTTTTTACTGTACATTTTCTCTGTTGGCTCAGTAGCCAAAATCAGTAACTCAATGAAGACATCAATCATCAATATAAAAGGTGGAGGGGTGAAAGCTGTGCCAATGGATGTTGTCAGGGTGCAAATTTCTCCCAGGAGCCTAAGAAACAGGAAAACAAAAAACACAAAAAAATAAGCAACTGATATTGTTGGACTGACACAGTGGCAAAAACCTCGAGAAAGCCAAAAAAAAAAGTTTCGACCCATCGAGAGGGTCTGAGGAGAAGCTGGACAGGTGACATGGGGTGAAACTTTTTGGTTTCTTTGTTTTTTGGTTTTTCCGTGGGTTTTGAGGCATTTTTGGGCCAAGGTGGCAAAAACTTCGACAAAACAAAAAAAAAACAAAAAACAAGTTTCGACCCATGGAGAGGGTCTGAGGAGAAGCTGGACAGGTGACATGGGGTGAAACTGTTTGTTTTTGTTGTTTTTTTTGGTTTTCCGTGGGTTTTGGGGCGTTTTTGGGCTAAGGTGGCAAAAACCTCGAGAAAAAAACACAAAAAAACAAAAAGTTTCGACCCATGGAGAGGGTCTGAGGAGAAGCTGGGCAGGTGACATGGGGTGAAACTTTTTGTTTTTGTTGTTTTTTGTTTTTCCATGGGTTTTGGACCAGTTTTTCCTCTTCCAGAATTTGTATTGTTTGTATGAGAGTTTGGGATAGATCCAAGCTCCAGGAATGGAAGCAGATCAGCAGACATGATGATTTTAAGCAGACAGTGCAAAACATGCGCGTTTCTACAATGTGCCCGCCTTCACCCCCCATGATCCCCCCTTCGGTTAAAAATAATACCAGCCATTCAAGTTTTCACCTGTATTCAGAACCTCGGGATCCATTGGGGGAAGCCATAAAAAACGAGGCGACAAAGAATTGGTTGGAGACGGTGATGCTCAGTCTTGACTCAAAGAAGGATCCGACGTTGGACCTGTCGAGTCACGAAAGCTTCACCACAATGAAGGCGGATGTGGAACGTGGTGAATGGGACTATGTGCACGCCGGTTTTCCACGCTGCAGTTTTTCCATGGCGAGGCATTGCAAAGTTCCAGGATAACCAGGGCCAGTGAGAGACAAGAACAACATCTACGGCCTGCCTGGCAATTCAGTTCAGCAACAAGCTGAAGCGGACAGAGGCACCCGAATGGCCACACAATCCGCTACAAAGCCCAGGGTGAAAAGTTGTGAGGCCAGAAAGGTGCCGCCATTCAGCACCATGGAGAACCCGCCGGGCAACGAGGTATCTGGTGGAGCATGGGACGTTCCGGAGGTTGACAACTGCTTCCAAGCAAGAAGATCCCCTACAACAATTGCGCCTTCCAGCGCAAGGAGAAGGTGAGATTCCTGAAGCGAGGGATCTGGGCTGGCCGCATGATCCGCATGCAGGGCATCGAGAAGATTCAAAAAGTGTGCTTGTGCCCGGCTTGGGTTAAGCACACACCCTTGGTGGGCAAGGAGGCGTCCCAGGCGGCGGAGCGGTGGAGGTACCAGGTTGAGACAAAGTCCCACCAGGTGAACGAGCTGCAGAAAGCTTGGCTGGAGAACAAAGAAAAGAAGTCGCGTGAAGAGGAAAACTGACCATCAGCTTCCAAGAGGAAGGCATCAATGGCTTTCAAGATTGATAACATTGAAAGCGACGACATGCCGTCAGGGGCAAAGGGCAAACCTCTCAAGCAATTCAAGGAAGAGCACAGCCAGCTGTGCGTGGGGGGCATGAGGAACCCTGCAAGAACTGTGAGGAGGTTGATGGGAAGAAGATTGCAGGCTTGTGGGACGAGTTCGTGGAAAGCCGCCCGGACGCGAACAAGGCGGCGCAGAACTATGGGAAGCCGGGCAATGACTTTGATGCGGACCTCCTGCAGCTGTGGAAGCAAGCTCTGAAGGACAACTTAGCGAAGGTCGAGGACAGACCGACTATAGTCTGGGAAAGCTGGGAGTTCACGTCCCCACTGGATGCAGACCTTTGTGAACAATGGGGGGGAGAGTGTCATGACCCAGATGAATGTTTGCCTGATTTCATCAGGCGTGGTGCGCTTTACTCCCAATGCTGCCTGGTCCATCTTTGATTTGCGTATCAGCAGCGTCACGGTCTTGGCAAAGAAGTTGAGCGCTGCGTCGGACGCTCTGAGGCGCACTAGCTCGATGCACCTTAGCATCCAAACCACTCCGCATCCGTAGGCCCAAGCCACTCGATTAGGCACGCCCTTCTTGTGGAACTTTGACTCCCAAACTCCCACTTCAATCTGGGACGTCAGACCAGGATATCCCGTCCTCCTACTGCATCAGCTTCGACTCCGCCAGGTATTGATCTGCGCACTTTATACCTGACTCCCCCAAAACTGCCGCTACCGTCAGGATATGTCCGGCATCAGGCCCTTGTCACGAAAGCTTATCTCACAGCTTTGCATAATCTCTATGACCTCTTCCGCTTTGACTCCTTGGAAGCCAACGTGGACTTAGAGAACATTTTGGCTCTCAGGCTGTCCCTGGCCTTCTCTACCCACTCCGGGAGTCTTCTCTCCCAGGCGCCGTTCTCTACCCATGTCGGCCGTTTTCTCTCCCAGGTGTCATTTGCAGATTTCTTTTTTTGCCCAGGGACTGTGAGCCGAATTTGTTGCCATACCTCCCATCACGTCTAGCACCCTTCTTCCCTAACCAGCCTTTGCGAGGAGATGTCCGGGCACTCTGCCAGAAGGAGCGGGGCAATGTGGTATATGCTCGGAAGGGAGCACCCATGCACGAAATTGGCACCTTGGAAAGATGGAAACCATCAGCTGTTTTCCGCTACATTGAAGAGGCTCTACAGGACATTCCGCTGAATGCTAATGCGTTTGGATCCAATCAGGTGATTCCCAGAACACGAGGACAAATTGAGTTCAACCCAGGAGCGCCGGGTTTGGCAGCCATGCAGGACATGGGACAATCAATAGTGGAGGCAAAGACCCACGACGTGCAGGTCAGCAAGCAAAAGAAACAGCCAGCATTACCTGATCAGTGCTGGGCTGTGTCGTCAGGAAGAAATGGAAAGGTCTCACATAGAGCGAGGAAAGCTTCATGGAATCTCAGTTTGGGCAACTGGGGCACGTGGTGCGGGTGCCACTTCGCTGAGAAGAACATAAAGATGATGCTGACCCCAAAGTTCCACATGGGCACCAGCAAATGCAAGAAGTGCGAATCTGCGCACCAGTCACGTGACAGAGTCAAAGGAGGTGTGAGTTTGGCGCAACTGGTGAGCCTGGATGACACAGATCAAAAGGCCACCGCATAGCCATATAAAACTCAAAGAGTTGTTTGCAACCATAGCTGCCAGATAGGACAGCGCTACCACCATCCGAGCAAAAGCGTCATTGCAATCCAGGAGGGTGGGGGGTTCAGCAATCAACGCACTGAATTGTTTGAGTGTTTCAGCATGAAACACAGAACAAGTCAGAAGTGAATGTTTTGGGATGGCGGGCGAGAACATGTGCAGTGTCCAGGCCCAAGAGGCATGGCAACTGTTCCTGCCCCTCCCACCCACCACTAGCAGGAACAGCTAGCCATGTGATCTTTCGTTTCTTCATTTCCTTTTGTGAGGTGTGAGTTCGGCGCAACTGGTGAGCCTTGATGACACAGATCAAAAGGCCACCGCAAAGCCATATAAACTCAAAGAGTCGTTTGCAACCATAGCTGCCAGATAGGACAGCGCTACCACCATCCGAGCAAAAGCGTCATTGCAATCCAGGAGGGTGGGAGGGTCAGTAATCAACGCACTGAATTGTTAATGCAAGTAAAGTCTAACTAACAGGGACGGTACGTTTCTCACATAGTTGTAATTTCTGAAAAAGAAGACCGCTCGTTGCACACGGAGTTCAGAGGAATACTGAGCTTTCAAAAGACGAGTGGCCAGAGAACCCAAGCGTAGCAGCAAACATACCTACACCGCCTCGTAAAGCGGCTTCAGAGCACGACCCAAAGTAATACATTCTCAAGGTTCCCAAAGGAAACATCTACCATAAATGCTCGATTCCATCGGTACTTGCAGGTTTACATTTTGGGCTTTGGAAAAGGGTGGCAAACATACACCACATCGGGTTCACCAGACTTCATCATCTTCCACCTGCACCCCAAATCTCAAGACTACGAAAAAATTACATGCAGAAAATGCAAAGCAAATAATCCAAAAAATGAATCCTGGACCTTCATATAATTTGTCCCAGAAGTGGACTGTCTGTGAAAAAAATACTATTTCTTTGGATTTTTGTTGCATGAATTTGTTGCATGGTTACAAAGGAAGGCATTTGTTTTCATGAGAATCCGAAATCAAATCCCAAAAAATAAAAGAAATGAACATTCGCCATCTTTGACCAAACATGTTCACCCATTATTGCCATTGCAATTCAATTGCTTGTAAATGTGCAAATCTTCCACCTTGCACCCAGAATTCAAGAATTCGATTTGTGCAGCAGAAACTTCAACCCTATATAGTATGTGGCATGCACCAGGTATGTTTTATGTATTCTAATTTTTGTGGTTCTAATGTTTCTGCATGCCTTCTGGAGAAAGTTCTTCGCAAAAACTGTCCTATTTATGCAAGAACGTATTAGCGAACCAAATTACAGAAAATCAAGAAAACCTAGATAAACTAAAGAAACTTGGTCATTTCGCTGATTTCGTGACATTTCGTGCCATGTCATCCTTGCCCGGTGACGCACCTCCGAGCCCCCCAGCACAAGCTGACATCTTTGGGATGCGCCAACTCAGCACTGACCAGCGCTGCACTGAAGCTCAGCCCACATCCCAAATTGGGAAGGATTACCAGAATGATCACCATATATTACCATGCTTAGCTCATCTTAGCTCATCTTAGCTCATCTTAGCTCATCTTAGCTCATCTTAGCTCAAGCAGCCTTAAGTGATTTTGAGTGCCTTGAAGGGCAAACTATGTATCTTTTTCGTTACCATCTCCTTGCGCATGTTCCATGTTCCTCCTCCAAATGAAATAGAAATTCGCGCACAGATCTCCCACCTTGACGCCAGGTGCTAAAATATATCCAGGCACCGTGACTCGAAGCTTCTCATGAATTTGCGTGGAGCACAACTCGACTGTAGCCACACTGTCACTTGTGTGAGCACAACTTGGCATGTCTTGAATTTGTCTGAGCACAACATCTGCTATCGCACGGAATGATTCTCCTTTCCTGTCGCGCATATTCAGACAACTTTTAGTGTTTCCGCGGCTCACGCACTAAGATCACGGAGTAACGCACCCTTGCTTTTCTTTGTCAGTTGAAGTGAGCTCAACTGGACCATTCGCGGATCCTATATTGTCCTTCTACATATGATTTATTATGATTTATTCATATATAATCAATATATATATATATATTCTGGAATTAATCTTAAAGGTTTTTGCAGATTCTTACAGATTCTTAAAGATTCTTACAGGCTCACCAGCTCTTGTCCAAGCTTTCGCACAGGAGCTTGACCTCGAGCACCCGCGGGTGAAGATCCTACAATGCAGCCGTAACAATTTGGTGGTGCAGGTCCGGTGCTTGAAGTTCTTTAAGGATCTTTCGATGATCTTTCTGTCATTTTTCCTGTCATTTTCTGTCCAGTCCTTGAATGTGAATAGATTGAATACCCCAAAAGGTGTGGGCAAGGTTCAAACTACTGCATTTGACACAAAATATGTAAGGGAGATCTTCATTTTGAGAAATAGGAAGTTCTAGATTCCGGTAGCTTTTGGCATTGCTCTCCCTTCCAATCCCAATCTTTGGAACAATATGGAACAATAAGGTAATGGTGTAGTCGATTGTGTGGCGTTCAGAGCTTGTCAATTTCTGTCTGTGGCTGAAGTTTCTTTTGCCATCCGCGCAAAGTATAGTCGTATGAGTCTGACTTGAAGTCTCCAGGCTTCCAAGGATCTACAGTCTACAGTAGGTGTCCAAGGATGTCGAATCATCTTAGGATCTATGGAGGATCTATGGAGGATCTATAGATGGTCTGACTTGAAAGTATGTTGGTTGGGAAGGGGCCCAATCTTGGGGCATTTCCAAGCTGGTATGTGCTACGTATCTCAAGATTCTGGATCCCTGGCACTATATAGAACCAATTCAGCTTCCACATCAATAGATGTCTACCCCTCCTTTTGCTCCTTTTTGCTTCTGTTCCTCTCCCCTTGTTTGATAATTTGATTTTTCCCTCCTATTCCGTGATTCAGACAAAAAAAACGATCATGGTGCTGCAAGGTTCACAAGTTCAGTTTCATTCTGCGAAGCAGATAGCTAACAGTTGGACTCTGCACTCAGCTGCAGCTGCGGCTTGTGCGAAGCAAAAAAAATCAAAAGATGCGTCCATTTGGAAGTGTAGCGCGTTCTTATTGGTTGTTTGACCATTCGGATGATTCGGCTGGTGCCGCAGCAACTTCTCTCGGATCTTTGAAGCCCTCTAGGGCCCTCTAGAGTCTTTCAGACCTTGCATCACTTTTTGATCCCCAGCCCAGAACTTTAGAGTTTTGGACCCCGCAAGATCCTTTTAGAAGACTTTGAGCATTTCATGTCAGGTCTCCAAACAAGCCACGGACTGCGAGATCTCTACCCCTTAGATCTATATACAGGTATGTGGATGTGGAACCTTTGATGCTGCTAAATGATTGCTAGATGAGGTTAGGCCAGGCTAGATTTGGCTAGATTGGTGAAATTTGGTGAATAGCGATTCTGTCTTTGGATTTCAAAGTTGAATGACCGAGTGATTCATAGGACCTCTAGGTTCCTGTTCTGGCACCTCACACTTTGCCTCTGATTTGTTTCAAAACTTTACAGCGCTTTGAAAGAATTTGAAAAATAGCTCTTTAAATCCTGGTTGCTAAGATATGTCTACAGTATCCGTCAAAGTTTCCATGTAGTGTATTGTCTATATTTCTTCATATGACAAAAGATGGTGATGGACTTCTTACTGTACTTTGACTTGAGGTGACTGAAAACTTAGTGTGTCTAGAACGGAGCCCCTCCTGCGACCAGGTTCCAAAAGATGTCCTTGCCCGTATCAAACAAGTTGAACATGTGACAGCCTCCCATGCCCTGCATGGCTGTTCTGGACTTGGTTTTTGATTCTGATGCAAATTCAGCATTAAAACTTTCCCAGGGCTTCACTGCGTTTTCAGATTCACTTGATGAAGTTTGATAGTATCTCACCAGCAGCAAGGCCCGCATTTGCAGCATGAACACCTTTACCACAGAGTCTTGGGCATCCAGAAGGCTGGCTGCAATATGGAGTTTCTATGCGCAATTTTGCCCACACACAGTCTTTTCGTCTTTATATATATATATATATTATACTGTAGACTATATTGCGCCACGTTCAACAGGTTGCCGAGACGAACTCAACATCTGCAATTGTTGAATTTCAGACGAAGGCCAAGTCACAGTCGTGGTCAGTTTTCCACTTGCATGGCAAAGATCATGTGCACGAATCAATTGTCACCAGCTGCGGCCGCAGGAGCTTGAAACAGCTCAAGAAGTCTTTCGGTCTTGCAGGTTGTGTCATATCGTCATGCCACGCGATATGAAGTCTGCCATTGCAGAGTTGCCAGAGTATTGTGCTGTTGCATGCTATTGCATGCTTTCTCGTATGAAGTCTGCTGTTGTGTAAAGTTGTGTACAGGTTCTACATTCATATTCTGCCTTCTGGCATCAAGTCTGGGGCTCCAAGGCCACAAGATGCAGACAAGTTACCAGAATGTTACACGATGTGACAAGATGTTTACAACGAGTGATCATGAAGTGATATAGTGACGCATTGTTTCTGTAACATCTTCGGATTCCGTGATTCCGTCCAGTGCCGAGCATCGCTTTCGGATTTGAGCCGAGTGTGAGAGGCCGAGTTCCCTCAGAGGTGAGCGACGCAGAAGCCCCAAAGTTCCCTCAGTTTGTGACGATTTGTGACGGTGACTTTGCACACAAAGACGGTCTCAGGAAATTCTGACATTCCTCTGATCGCCTAAGCACTTGAGTCACTTGAGACTCTTGAACGTGGACAGATTCGACATCCAAGGACTCCAGAAGGACTTCTTAGATTTCCTGAAGGACGGCGTCAACAGCATTGGAGAAGTCAGAGGCTTGCTTGGCTGACAACTTCTTGCAATGTCTTACAACCTCTCCGGCTGGTTGCTCTCGCTCTATTCACTTGGACATGATTTTGAGGCATCAGCACGAATCTACACAGCATGGCCAGGCGGAGATTTGAATATGAAGACTGGCTTCGAACCAGACGAAGCCAACGACCAGCAGGTTGGCATGGCGGATGCTTGAAGGAAGTTCAGATGTTCAGGTATTTCAAGTTATTTCAAGACAGATGCATGTATTATGCATGTATAATACTGTATAAGATGTCTATTTCTACTATTTCTCCGAAGTTTGTTTCGTCCCGGCAGGGCAACACCTTCTTCAACTTGAACAATCCTCAGGAGAAGGACAACTTTGCATGGAACTGGAACACTGAGGCGGGCTGCGACGAAGCACGACCTATGGAGCACCGTGTTTGTCGAAACTTTTCCGGAAATATGGTTTGATAATTGAAACAGAAACAACATATGTTATGAAATGAGTGAGGTTTCACCATGTTTTCTTCGGTACTGTGTTACATCATGTTCCCAAGCATTTTCCGCACTTGCTGGCAGTGCTGGCTAGGTGAACAGCAGCAAGAACCCTCAGTACAAATACACGTTCCCTGGTGGAACAACATGGGTCAGGCCAGTTTGAGGGAAAGAGAATGCTCACTGTGAGTTGCTCACTATTTCTTACAAGTCTTACAAGCGATTTCGTTTTCAAATTTCCAGTGCCAGGCTTTTCAAGCCGTACTTCAACGCTTCCCTTGGATTCACCATGAATCTCAGCAGCCACATGCCTGATATCACACAAGCGTGGGGAGCTTTGTGATTCCGCTGGTGCATTGGTCATTGCCATTTTTTCCCGTTTGTTTGACACATGCTACAGCTGCTGCATTGCCTTTGCACATTTTCTGCTTGATCACAAGCCACTGAGGCCTCATGTTATGGTTGACGTGATTGTTCGAAGTTCACTGCTAAGACATCTTCTGTACTGCGTGGTTATCCTGATCTTTTTGTCCTGTGCAAACAATCAACGCAATTGACATGATGACATCAGTTGAGCATATTTGATCAGGTTTTGCAGACATGGATTTGGACATTGGAGCTGCATCGGATTTTGACAAGGATAGGAGCCGACCTCAAAGTTGTCACGGACCGTGCCGCAAACAAGTTTCGTCCTTCCAAATGCATTGCGTGCTCCGGACGAACCAAGATCATCCTCAATCATGCGCAACGTGCTGGACACGGTTCCGATTCCCTTTTTCAGCAAACTGAAGAGCCAACCTCAGCGAAGTCATGGGAAAGATGGGAAAATCATGTGTTCAACAACAAGACTGAACTCTTTTGAGCTTAGCTTTGAGCCTTTGACACTTCAGAGAAACCTCGCCAGGGCTGACACAGAGATGTTCATGCGGCCGTTCACCTTCCACTTAGGCGCGGCTTTGTCAATCGTCATACTAAAGCAGCTACATGCAGCTTCTTTGCAGCTTCCTTGCAGCTTCAGGTGGTACACCTATCACAGTGACTCCTGGGATGAGTGTGAACATGAAGGTGCAGCAAGTCAGCAAAAGGAAACTCCTGATCTTCTTATATAATTCTTTTGGGCTAAAGGGTCAGTTCCCTTCTGCGTCTGCCCTGAGATCTTCCACATCGGGCAAATGAAGGGGACGATTCGTGTTGGCTTCGGCGCTCAAAGAAGTTTGCAGTTCGTGTCCATATGAGATCCGTTTGTTGTCCTTAGGACCTTAGGAGCCTAGAGATGTCATGAGATGTCTACGATTTGCTTTTCTGAATTTGAGTCGGTATCGAAAGACTTAGAGAAGCTCGACCCAGCTTTTAGTTTCACTTGGTCTCCCCTTGAAGGCATCCAGGCAGTTGATCCCAAGGAAATGCCCCTGAATTTCTCACCCGATACTCCCAATCCCCAAGAACTCCAAAGAAGCTGATGAAAAATGATGAAACCACTCGATGCTAAGCCGATGCTGAGCCGATGCTAAGCAGTGGTGAGCGATGCTGCTCTAAGGCCTGAAGACGATTGTCAACTGCACTGGCTCAATGCATTTTGACACAGTCGGCACCTCAGGGCGCTGGCGCTGGGCTGGCACGATTTCACACTGCAAGATCTTGCAAGACGATTCAAGACGTCAATAAGCTGTTCACTCGTTCACTGCAGAAGTAGAGCAGCATTGTCTAGTCGAGTGCTTGAAGTAGCTTTCAGTCCTTGTTCTGGTCTGCAGACCTTTGGAGAGCAGCACAACTTCTCTACGGAAATGCTAAATGCGAAGGGCTTGGAAAGAAGGAACTCAGTTTCTACCCGATGTGGAATATGCTTTCAGTACAGCGACTGCCCTAGTCTTATAGACATTCAGTAAAGATTGAACAATAGATGCAGGTGTCTTTCACATCTCCAACCTGGCTTTTATTCACGCGGCGCTTTCAGCTTGAAGCTTAGGGGCTTCCAAGCAGCTTCAAGCAGCTTTCAAAAAACTTCAAGGGAACGGTTTTGGCGAAGTCTTTCCTTCTGGTCAACATTCTAAGAGTGTATTTTGGCAAAGCTGCGAAAGCCGGCAAGCAGCTTTCAGATGTGAGGCTGGGTGTTGAGTTGGCGCCAAATGCCATCGGCCTAAATTGCAGTCATCCCACGGATGGCATATCAACCTCATTAGTCAATGTTTTGGTAAGTTGAATTAGTTGAATTTTGGATGTGTGGACGCTTCAAGATGCAATGACTGCAAACTTGGCACTTGAGCTACAGCACGGCCATGCTGAGTTCTGGCTAAAGGGCGGCATGGGAATTATGAGAGACATGGAAATGGGCTTCGGCTTGAGGCAGCTGGGTGAAAAAGAAAAGCAAAGAAACATGAGAGCGACAGAGAAGGACAGACGGACAGAAAAAGGAGATTTTGAACTTTGAAATGTTTTGAAATGTTTTGGACCCCTTTGTGCAAACCATTTGGGAATATATATTTGGATCATGCAGCGCTCTGGACCATTTCGACCACAGTATTTCTGTCTCAGCGCAAGGCCTTACTTCAATGTGTCTGTGCATGAAGAACAGTTTGGGCAGGATGCTGAGTTTTGCATGTTTTTTTGAGTACTACCGTATTGCCATAGAGGATACTGAGGGCTCTTCGCTAGGGAACGTTGGACATTGTCCATGTACATTGCTCCAAGGTCTCTCACAAACGAGTTGGCTATATATCCATACCGGGTCATGGGTCGCAGACTCAGGGTGGGGGAAAGCTTTGTTTGACGTGTTTTTGTCGCTTGTTGTTACTTGTTGTGCCTCGAGGACTTCCCTACGGCAGGCGTTTTGCCGTCAAAATCAGACGCTTGGCCAAAGAGTTGCCGTGAACCAGTCAACTCAGTTGACCATGAAAGACCATGAAAAACCTTTCCGACCTTTCCCATTCCTCTGTCGTTCCTTGCCACGCCATTGGTTTGCCATTCCTTTGTCTTTCGCTGGTCATTCCTTTGTCATCTGGTCACCTGTTTGTCATATGTTTGTGTGATTTCATTGAACATGCCCATGTACAGGTTGTCTCCATTCATCGTAACATACTGGCCCGAAATCCATTCAGGGGCCCTAGTCAGATCGGAGGCGAAGGTACGCCATGCAGTCCGAGAGGTGCAGAAAAGATCGTTGAAGGCTTGCACTGCCATTGCGTTTCCGCAGTGGTAGCGGAGCTACGTTCGACATCCAGGGCGATGGCGCAGAATGCCGAAGATGGTGACGATGGCAACTGGCAAGAACCAATGGCTGGAGCTACGTCTGTGACTAGCAACGCAGCTGGGGGCACTCAACAGGCCAGTACGAGTATTGGCCCAGGGGAAGCTGGAAATGGAAGTCAGTTCAGGGACAAAGACCCGCCGCCAGGTTACGACGGGTCGCAACCAGAGCTGACCTTCAGGCAGTACGAGAAGAGTGTAAGGCTGTGGCAGTTCGAGACGGATGTGCCGTTGAGAAAGCAGGGGGCCAAGTTGCTACGTGCCCTTTCAGGTTCGGCTAGATTGGCAGTAGATGACATGGAGTTCGAGGACATCGCCACGGAGGAGGGTATCAAGAACATCCTCGGGCGACTCAGAGAGTACTACATGCCACATCTAGAAGTCTCTCTCCCAAGGGCATTTGAAAGTGCCGTTTATGGCCAGCAGCGACAGCCCAAGGAAACCTTTGCCGACTACGTCCATCGCATGGAGCGGAGCTTTGCCTTGCTCGCGAAGGAGGGTGTCGACCTCCCGAAAGGGGCAACTGGGTACATTATGTACCGACAGGCTGCTTTGACAGAATCCCAAGACCAGAGGATTCGGACCTGGTGTGGAGGTCGATACGACCGTGATGCAATTGTCAAAGCCTTGAGAAGGATGGACAAGGTGGTCAAGGAAAAGGGATCCAGGTCTTCAAACTATGTCATGGACTCCGAGCAGGTCTCTGAGAATGCCCAGGGTGGTTTCCCGGAGGAGATCTACGTGGAATCAGATGATGAGTTCATCTACATAGCCGAGGGGGACTTGGATGGAATCTACGAGGAGAAGGACATGTTGGAGGCATTGGCTTCATACAAAGAAGTCCGGCAGGCTCTCAAGGAGCAGAAGACAAGTCGTGGATTCTTTCCTGGCCGAGGTTTCGGCATTGGGAAGGGCACTTCGAAGGGCAAAGGCAAGACCAGAATCCACAAGGAGCAGTTGAAGTTGCGAACTCGTTGCTGGAAGTGTGGCCAAATCGGCCATATCAGTGCCGAATGCACCAACAAGGTGGTGATCAAAGAGGGCACCAACCCGGCATCAAGCGCCGGATCCTCAGGAAAGTCCAGTTTCTTCGTTTCCATGGCAGACGAAACTGCTGTGGAGAGTTGTCACTCCGGTGAAAACACCAGTGCTTTTTGGCTGCGAAATTTTGTAGATCGCAGGGCACAGACCCGCCGTGAGCTGGCTTGTGAGCATGAAGGAGCATACAAGAGCGCGGAGTTTGGAGGGTCTTCCACATCAAGCACAAATTTTCATGGTATTGTCACGCGTTCTTTTGAGGGAGTGGTAGACACAGCAGCGGAAGGCGGGCTAATAGGTTCAATGGCTTTGAGAAGGTTGGAAAGTGAGCTTCATGAACTAGGTCTTTGTTGTCAGTGGACCCCGAAAACATCTTCAGCCAAAGGAGTGGGGGGTCAGGCAAATGTCATTGGAGTCATCCTCATCCCCATAGGCATTGGAAATATCAATGGAGTACTGGAGGCAACTGTGGTAGAAGGTGATGTTCCTTTACTGTTACCTATCCGTCTTCTCAAAGCATTGGGAGCGGTCATCAACATTCCTGAGGGTCACATCGTTTTTGAGAAGCATGCAGTGAAAGTGCCTATGACAGAATTGAACAGTGGGCACATGGTCATCAGAATCACCGATTTTGCGAATGGTAGGTTCGAGACACCTGTGGAATTGCAAGCTGACTATGACTTTCGGCATGATCAATCGGAAGACCTCAACCATGTAGTCATGCTGGCTCAACAACGCCTATCAGGTGGCACCATGAGCCCACGCTCTAGCACTCAGTCGACCAATTCCTTGCTTCGTCATGGAAGCGATCATGGGCCGGGTGCGGAGTTTGGGAAGACCAAAGGTTGTACAGCCGACAGTTCCCAATTTGAAGCGAGCAATTCATCACCACACCGCCAGGGCCATCAAAAACTGGCGGATCATGCTGGACAAGCTGTGCACCATCATGGTCATGGTGGCGTTGCAAGACGCCATTGGAGATTGGTGCCCACAATCCTTAGCGCCGGGGTTGTCGCACTCGCCAGAGACTTCTCCGGAGGACATCTTTGCGGAGCTCATCGTGGGGGCGAAGCCGCTGGCTCCCGTGAAGACCAAGGAAGCTCCACCAGTGTCTTCCAGTGCCTGCGTCCATCCCAAAGCCAAGTTGAGGGGTGGTGGCAACGGGAAGGCTTCATGGATATGGTGCCGGGATTGCAACTCCCGGTGGGAAAGTCCGTACCGCGCGCTGGAGTTGCGCAAGGATCTCAAGGCGGAGAACCTCGACAAGAAACGGGGCTCCTTGGGTCAAAGTGCGGCCTCAGTGGCCATTCCCGAGGAGATGGAAGTGGAGATGGCTACGGGCGAGGTTCCGAATGGGTACGGCCCAGTCCAGCAGAATGTGGAATACCAGATTTGGGAAGCTCAAGAAAGTATGAGAGCACAGATGGAAGAGCAGATGATGAATCTCATGGCCGAGATGAGGCAGCAACAGACAGCCACCGCTCAACAGGAAGAGCGTCAAAGGCATCAACTTCAGACCCACTTGAACGAGATGCGAGAGAAGACGTTGAGGCAAGAGGCCATGATCACGGCCCTGCAGAACCAGAACGCCGAGAGCGCCCTGAGGAGCTCCGGACCCATGACACCGGAGGAATGCGAAACTGCATCCCTTGCCGGGAGTTCCACAGTGAGGGCAGCAGTCCGGGCCGTCAATCAAATGCCCGCACCAATGTGCAAGTGCGGGGCACCGGCAGAGAGGTTGGTAGTGAAGAAAGAGGGACCAAGACGGGGAAGGTCGTTTTGGAAATGCACTCAACGCCTGTGCGATTTCTTCCAGTGGGATCAGGAGGAGGTCCAGAAGTTGATGATGGCGGCGTCCAAGGCAGCCCCAAGTGCTCCGGGCAGCCGCAGCCAGATCGGGTCATGGCAGCCGGTGACACCAGCGCCGGATGTGGTGGACCTGACGTCCGAAAGTGGCCTCTAGATGGCAGCTCTGGAGAATGGAGTCTTTGCAGCACTTTAAAGGCAAGAAAACAGGCCAGAAGGTTGCAGTTGCAAAAGCATTCAGAGTTTTTCCATGTAGAGCATCAGTATCAGATTTTTGAGGGTGAATGGAAAGACAGATCTGGCTTGATTCCGTTAGACAGCACCGCAGATATTCGAGTGAAACTGGGGTTGAACAATCGAACTTTGCTGCAGCAATGCTTCGATGATGGCAAAGAGACACAGTTCAACCGTAGGCAAAGGAGAACCATACAGCAAGGTATTTCATGTTTTCCTGGCGCACCCAATAGGACGGTTGCTGAAGTTTTCTCCCCGCCAAGAGTGGCAGAAGCGGCACAGCGGCATGGGCTGCAGCAAGGCAAGAGTTACGATTTGGTGACTGGATGGGACCTGAGCGATCCTATCCAGGTGAAGGCCATGTGGCGTCAACTAGCTGTAGACAAACCTCTCCTTATCGTATTATCTCCTCCTTGCACTGCATTTTCTCCTTTGCAAGAATGGAATTTTCCTCGAATGAGCCTTCGAAACGCTGTTCGACTTATTGTAGGCGGCATAGAACATTTGGAGTTGAGTGCTAGCATTGCTCGATGGCAACATCAACAGGGGCGTTTCTTTGTATTTGAGCATCCTGATTTGGCAAAGTCATGGAAGGAAGATTGCATTGAACAACTTGCGATGTTGGATGGTATCTACCGTATAACATGTGACATGTGCCAGTACAACTTGCGAGCTGATGGTCAGGAGCTCAACAAGAAGCCCACTGGCTTGCTGCTGAACAGCGAGGAGATGGCGAAGCACTTGCAGAGGCGCTGTAGAGGGGGTCATTCTCACAAAGCTCTTTTACATGGTTTGGCTAAGAAGGCACAGAAGTATACTCCAGAGTTCTGTAGGGCTATTATACAAGGGCTCAAAAGGCAAATTATGAGGGATGGGGGAGTCCATCGACCAGAAGAGATTTGGGCCGTAGACGAAAGCTGGAACTTGGAGGAAGTAGAAACTTTTGAAGATCCTCCCAGTGATGAGGAGGAAGTGTGTCAGGTTGAAGGAGGTGAACAGGAAGGCAGCAGTCAAATCACTGAGGAAGAGCAGAGAATGGTTGCCAAGCTTCACAGAAACGTGGGGCATCCTCAGAGAGCTGAGTTCATCCGCTTCATGAGGGCAGCCAGGGTGAGACCAGAGGTAGTGCGTTGGGCATCCAAAGAGTTCAAATGCGATGTTTGCGAGTCCAAGTCAAACCCCAAACCTGCGAGACCAGCGGCAATCCCTCGCAGCTACCAACCCAACAAAGTGATTGGGGTTGACATCACCTTCATCCCTCAGGTGGGAGGAGGAGGAGTAATCCCAATCTTGAATATCCTGGATTGGGGCACCAATTATCAAATGATGGAGAAGTTGGAGAGCAAACATCCACAAGAAGTTTGGGAAGTTTTGAGGAATGTGTGGTTCCGCATTTTTGGAGCTCCTGAGGTGATCGTTACAGACCAGGGCAAGGAGTTCAGCCAAGCTTTTCAAGTGGAAGCCGCCAAGGTGGGCATTTTGGTCCATCAAACCGCGGCCAGGGCTCCATGGCAGCAAGGCAGAACGGAACGTCATGGGGCACACTTCAAAGACATTTTGGAAAAGGCCCGATCAGAAGAAGTCATCACCTCAGAACAGGAGTTGGTGAGCTTGATGCGAGAAGTGGAGCAGGCAAAGAACCGGTACAGTAACCGGTCTGGTTTTGCCCCGGTGCAAAGGCAGATAGGCCAATGGCCTAGGGTGCCGAATAGCCTGCTGGCAGACGACCACCTCGACGTCACACTTGTCGATGGTATGATGGTGGATGACTTGGAAAGGCTGCATCAGATGCGAAGAGTGGCTCAGAAGGCATTCGTGGAGGTCAATGCCAGAACTTCCATGAGAAAAGCGCTACATGGGAGATCCAGAACCTGGCAGAACTATGAAGCTGGGGACTTGGTGTATGTATACCGAGTTCCTCGAGCTCGCAAAACAAAGTCAGGAGCCAAGGAAATGTATGAGCTCGCCACCAACAAGGCGACATGGGTCGGGCCAGGCACTGTCATCGTGCCAGATGGTGCGAACCTTTGGATCGCCATGATGGGAGAACTTTGGAAAGTGGCTAGAGAGCAATGCCGGAAGGCGACTTCGGATGAGAAGCAGGGAGTGGAGATGGTGATGCAGGAATGTCACGACCTTATCCAGGAGTTCAAGAAAAGCTCCAAGAGAAGTGGATACAAAGATATCACCGAAGAGGCCTTTCCGCCTATGGAAGACGGGAAGCCTATCAGGGCGAACCACCGGCCAAAAGAGTCCGGTTCAATGAAGAGGTGGAGGAGTTGGATGGTGAAGAGTATACCCCGGGAACTCCAATTCAGACACCACGAGAAGAAGGTGACGAGTCGGACATCGACGAACCCGAGGGTGAGTTGAGCCGACCATCCACAGAACAAGGAGGTGGAACTACTTCACAGTCTTCCTCTTCATGGTCTTCTAAGCCATCTACACCCTCTGGAGGTGGAATTGGAGGCGGAGTAGGAAGAGATCTACCACACACTGACAATGAAGAGCATGGAGAAGCCGTGGCAGGCGCTCCTCAGCAGAATATAGCGCAGCCACCGAGCGCAGTAGTCGCTCCAGCAATTCCAGTCGCTCATCAATTGACTGGCCCCAATTTCGAGAGAGCAGTGGATGCCTCCCGAATGCAAGCCAATCGATTGGACGGGCACGCTCATGCGCCGAGCGCTCGACCACTCCGATGGGTGAGAGATCGCAGTGAGCAAGCACCCTATCTGGTGTTTGAACCAGAGCATTACCTGATCACAGAAGCAGAGGACCCAGAAGAGTGGGAAGAAGAACAGCAGCGAAGAAGGTTCTCTATGCTGCTAGGTGAGGAAAGCAATCACAAGACGAGCGACTGCTGGAAGTACCAGGCAGATCAAAGAAGGCTGACAAGATGTCATAGAACCAGAAGAAAAGGGCTTTATCATCCAGTCGGAGCAAAGGATCTTCCAGTTCCGTTATGGGCCTTGAAGTCAGATCGTCAAACTGAAAAGAAAAGGTCAACGGAGTCATTTGCTGTGACGAAAGATGATTGGAGGAGGAATCCAGAAAAAGATGCGAAGGCCAGGAATGGGTGGTGGACTGGAGAAACTCATTTTATTTTAGAAGAAAGTTTTGATTTGCAGGTTTGGCTAGCAGCCAAGAAGGGTCAGGATGAGGTAGATTTGAACAAAGAACCGGAAGAAGAGCTTGAGGGTTGGAGACAAGCAGACGCGGCAGAATGGTCAAAGATAGCCGCCAGTGGAGCTGTGAGAGTTTTGAGTTTGGCCGAAAGCAGAGATGTGAGGAAACAACTCCAGGAACAAAACAAGTTGGATCGAATCTTGCCCACCAAGGTAGTTCGCCGGCGAAAACCAGCCGAACAACCTGGAGATCCTGCTTCGAAGAAGTCGAGGCTGTGCATACGTGGGGATCTGGATCCAGACATCTTGGACCTGGAGCGTTTTTCACCAACCATCACCACTGTGAATTTCAACGTATTGATGCAACTGGCAGCTAACCGTAGAATGAGGGCAACCATTGGGGATTTGCGTAATGCGTTTTGTCAATCTCAACCACTGCATAGGAAAAATGGTCCAATCTATTTCCAGCAGCCAAAAGGTGGAATTCCTGGACTAGAAGAAGGACAAATCATTCAAATCATTGCTGGTTGCTATGGGTTAGTTGATGCACCTTTGCATTGGAGGAAAAGTCTCATTGCGGACTTGGAGAAGCTTGGGTACCACCAGTCCAAGCTCGACCCATGCATTTGGAAGATTCATGATCCAGTTTCTGGAGAATTAGAAGGAGCAGTTGCAATCGAGGTAGATGATTTATTTACAGTTGGTCATGCCAGGCATCATGAACTCATGGGTAAATTGCAGAGCATGTATACTTTCGGAAAATATGTGGAGCTGATGGGTTTAGAACATGGTGCTGCTTTCAATGGTAGGCGAATCAGACAGTTAGAGGACGGCACGTTCAAGATCGACATGCAGAAATTCATTGAAGAGAGACTGTCTACTGTTCATTTGGAAAAAAGGTAGAGCTAGTCAAAAGAAGTCTGACGCCACTGTTGACGAGGTTGGAAGAGCGCGAGCTGTCTGCGGCAGCTTGAACTGGCTGGCGAAAGAGGGCAGACCTGACGCGGCTGGGCCTTCATCATTGCATTCTTCGAAGTTATCTAACCTAAAGATTGAAGACATCATTGCCATCAACGAAACCGTAAAGAATTTGAAAGACACTGCTGAGCTTGCTGTGATCTTACAACCATTAGATAGCATGAAGTTAAGCATAGTGACAGATGCGTCATTTGCAAATCATGGTTATCATTCACAAGGTGGTCAGATGGTCATTGCTCATGAAAAAGGTCTTTGATGGTTTGAAAGTCAAAACAAATCTGGTTGGTTGGAGAAGCGGTCGTTTGCAACGGGTAGTAAATTCCACCTTGGCAGCTGAAACCCAGAGTCTAAGTAGAGGACTTGGGGACTTGCTGTGGATCATGGTGTTAACCAAAGAATTGTCAGAAGCGAATTTCAAAGTCAGGGATTGGAAACATCGTTTGAGTGCAGAAGAAGTATTAGTCTTAGGATCGGAAAATCACCAGGAATTCTTGAAGGAAAGTTTGGCCATCGTGGATGCAAAGAGCTTATATGACTATCTTGCCAAGGAAACGGTAGGTGGCCAAGACCGTCGAACTGCAATCGAGATTCAGATCATTCGAGATGATTTACATCACTTAGATGGTCAAGTGAGATGGGTGGATCATCCAGCGATGATTGCGGATGGGCTCACGAAAGTTCGCGGCAACAACGAGCCTTTGTATCGTCTTCTGAGAGACGGCAGTTTCAAGATCCAGGCTGAGGAATCGCAGATGGCACTGAGAGAGAGCGCACGACAGAACGGACAGCGTTCTGATCAAATTCGTAGGAATGGAGCCAAAGAGAATTTTGGTGGGCTGTGATTTCATTGAACATGCCCATGTACAGGTTGTCTCCATTCATCGTAACATACTGGCCCGAAATCCATTCAGGGGCCCTAGTCAGATCGGAGGCGAAGGTACGCCATGCAGTCCGAGAGGTGCAGAAAAGATCGTTGAAGGCTTGCACTGCCATTGCGTTTCCGCAGTTTGTGTTTGCCATTCCTTTGTCGTTAATTTGTCATCTCTTCGCCATTTGGTTGTCATTTGTTTGTCAACAATTTGTCATATGTTCATATGTTCAATATGTTCTATTCCTTTGTCGGTTGTTTATTGCTTTATCATTTGTTTTTGATTTGCTTGCCATTCCTTTGTCATCTCTGTGTCATTTTTGTTGTTTCTTTCTCATTCCTTTGTCATTCCTTGTCTTGTTGTTTCCTTTTGCTTGTGACTTCAGGTGCTGGGGGCAGGTACAAGGAAACGTGCGCTCCTTATGGCAGCTTGTTGTTGGCCGAAATCACCCTTGCATTTGCATGCCTGTGAGGGCCATTCAGATGAGCACTGGAGTCGTGGAGTTCCAAAACAAGGTTGAGGTACCAGCTGCAATTTTGATTTCTGCCTCGAAGGATGTACACACACACACAGATGTGCCAAAATGTGCAGCATTAGCAGAATATGGAATCACTGCACGCTGTCACATGGCCACAGATCTTCGAATTTACGCCGATGACAGAGCAGCAGTTGTTGTCCGAGCAAATTCAGGCTGAGAATGAATCACCACAGCAAGTGCCATATTTTCAGCACAAAACTTCTAGAGAAAGTGTTCTCCTTGCCCGACTTTTTCATTCTTTTTCCATGATCTCTCTAGCACTCTAGCTCTTTCTGGCTTCGATCCCTTGTTCTTCCTTGCGCTTTGGCCATGTCCCTGATGGTTCAGGTTGACATTTTGGAGGATGGACAGGACGTTCTTGCAATGTCTGGCAAAGGATTTGACTTTGACAAGCTTTGAAGCTGCTTTGAAGCAGGAGCCAGCCAAAGCCACTGGCACCGTAGCAAGGCCCTGAGACTACCTGAGGAATTTTTGATAAACTGAAGATTCCTCGGATTTGGTGCGTGCACTGCGAACACCACAGCACAAACACGGTGTATCCTTTCAGATCTATTTCAGATCTATCCCAGGTATATAGATCTTCATCAATGATTATAATTAAAGCATTATTAAAGCAATTAGAAGAGCATTTATTGAGGGCAGAGTGTTTACCTCGCTTCGCACTGAAGACCAGCTTCAAATCCTTCACCGGTTTTTTCTGGTATCGGTTGATAAGTGCGTGAGCTCATGGTCAAAGACTCGTTGGCGTGCACGGGGTCTGATGCATGCGCACTCCAGCGCAAAGCGCTTGTGGTATCAAGGACGTGCGGTCACAGCGCTTTTGGCATAAAAGCCATAAAAGTGTTTGGCGGTAAGAGAATGTTCACAAGTAGAGCTAGTGGCCTTTTGTAAGATTTAAAAAAACAGGTCGCGCTGCAGGCTTGAGCGCAGTCAGAAACTTTGAGACGCTCATTTTACCGACTCCCTAGCGTCCCTAGGTCTGCAGGAAAGTGAACATGGGTATGTTTGGACCCTAGCGTCAGGCAGAACAATGGCCAGAGAGGAAATAAGTTGGCGATGTCTATTTCCCCATGTGCTGAAGGTGTGAACCTCATCCGACGCAAGTGAAGCTTTCGCTCGATGGAGAGGACCTTGCAGAGACACTGCGGGCATTGTCTGATTGTAGATGATTGTAGCAAACTTCTGAAGATAGAAGCTGCTGGCTGTGGGGTGCCGTGGTTACTTCCCTGCCCTGCGATTCCAGCTGCTATCCAGCTACAGAATGCCACGATGTAGCCATGCTGAAGCTGGATGCTTTGGGAGCTTCACTGTTACTGGGCTTTGGCTTTGATACAAGCAGCATTCTTCCAGTGGCCTAGTCCCTTTCGTAATGTTTGAGGTCAAGGTGGTCAAGTTTCCAAGAAAGTTAGGTAATTTCAATAAGACACGGGGTTTATCCCTTTGATCTCGCGCCGTACGGCATTTGGACTTTTTGAACCATTGGACGAGGACATATTGGTCCATTTGGGAATTTTCTTCCAGGCTCCCTTCAGCTTTCACAATGCAGCAGTTTTTCCTTGCAGGTGCTGGTTCTTCGATTCCGAATGTTGAAGCTTTTCTTACCTGGACCCTGAGGCCAATGCTCTGGGCGGCCTGATAGCGAACATGCAAAGCATAAGCCTTCGCACTCCGATAGTCACATTCAATCCAACGGGAACAGTGCACTCCTTAGACGCTGTGCAGCTTGTGGCAGCTTGTGGCAGCTGGTGGCAGCTTGTGGCAGCGCTGGGTGACCAGATGGTTTGATACTCACTTAGTGGACTCAGTGGACTTGGATACGTTAAAAATCTTTTGAAAAATCTTTTTATTTTAAAAAATCCAATATCTTTTAAGTTTTTGGATACTCACTTTCCTTTAGTTTTTCGCTTCTCTGAACCTGGACTCCTTGGACAAAGCCGTTGGAAATTTGAAGCGGCCAACTGATCCTGTAAGCAAAAAATGTTGCATCGTGCTGCCATAGGCGCTGGTGCTTCGGGGCCATCTCTCTTTTGGGTTTATTCTATGTAGTATTCGTATCATTATGCATGTATTTGTGGCCTTTTATTTTTGTCCAGGTTCGAAAGGTACAAGTTGCGGAACACATCCTGGCTTTGGCTTGTCACACTTTTGCCGTCCTGCTGCGGATGCCGTGCGCTGTGGGGGCTGCACCTCTAGAATCCTTGGGATTGCCCTTGCCCCAGCTGTGTCCACTTTAGGTTTGCTGCGTTGCGGTATCTCTTGCGGTTTGCCGCAGAGAAGATCCCATTGGAATAGCTGCAGTATAGCTCAAACAACTAGCTCAAAGCAGCAAGCATTTCAGCAAGTATAACAAGCAAGACTACCTTGGTTAGTTATGCATTTAGTTCCTGGAGTAACAAGATGAGCAGCCCGGTAAAGCTTTTCCAGTTGTCAACACAAAGCCACCATGCTTGAAATCCCCGCAGCTTACTAATTTGCCAAACTTCACGCCAAATGCGACAAGTAAATAGATGGCAATAGAGCAAAACATATCAACCGAAATCCTTCTAAATCACGAATTGTGCCTGGGAGGCTTATTAAGGCAATTCATTGAGGCAATAGCAGCAGTGGGAAAGAAGAAAAACATTGGTATCACAACAGACGCAGGCACTCAGCCTTTGATTGAGATAAACCTAAGCCGCCAGAGTATTCCTTGTATGCAAGTTTGTTGCATCAGCGCGCTGAAATTTTTGGTACTGTCAGAGTCAGCAAAACGACTCCAAAACATGGCATTCGGATTATGCTTATGCAAGTGCATTGTCAGGCTTACGTTTCAATCCTTTCTGTGATTGGTCTTCGATTTAGCTAAGTGCTTGAAGTAGTGTGTATGAGCTTTGTTTCTGCAATATGACCCAGACACATTTTAATGCTTTTTGCTCTTGTTGTTTTGTTCAGTGACGTACAGTACTTGCTTGATAGCATGCGGCAGAGCATGGGCGATCTTGTTGCCATGATGGGTATGCCTCCGTCATACACGGCCTCTAATGGTGAGCTTCTTTGCAGGGACCCCTCAAAGCATTTTTGAAGGAGGCCAGCGTCTTTGGTTCCTGTTTGTTCTGAAAGATGGAGCAAAACTGAACCAGCTGCTTGATGTAGTTTGTAGCTAAGACAAGGGCTTTTTGTCGCGTTTCAAAAGCCAATAAGACATCCAGAAGTTCGAACGCACTGTTTGTCTGAATTTCTTGCGCCCCGCAGAATCTTGACTGTATTCAGCTACTTCTCTACCACAGTGGACACACTTACAGCGGAAGCCTGAAATCAAAGCACATGGGGAGTGTGTTGTCTCTGCCGTTTGTCACCAGCGGTTGCACAGCATATAGACTGCATATAGGATGTGGTTCATAAATGTGCCTGTGCAGAGTGAATTGCGCACCTGCTGAGGCTTCGACATGGAACCCAAGCCTCATCCTTGGTTGCAACATGAGACTTAGTGACTTGATATGCCTAGTGACAAACTTGACCTTGCAAAACTTTTGAACAGACAACAGCGCACTTTTATGTGTAGTCAGGTTTGACGGAGAAACCTCACTTTGGAAAGCAGACACAATTTGGGAGCTGGGGCCAACTTTTCCAGCTTGGGCCCGAGCAAAGTAAATCTTGCTTCCTCGGGGGGGCTTTTAGACTTCATTGCTGTTGTCATTACTATGATCTTCATTGCTCACGAGCCCATCAGGATTTCTGGACAAGTCCACCTATCACTACACCAAACTTGACAACAAATGAAAGGAGGCAATCTTTCAGCACGCTGCTGTGCATACAAGCTGGGAGTTGTTTGATGCCTCTGGCATGGCTGGCGAAATTGCGCAGAGGCTGCAGAACCTTGTGCAAATTGCTTCGCTCTCAGGAACAGTTTTTGGCAAGTCGCCAGGACACAGGAATCTTCTCACTTTATCCTTGCCGCCGCAGTGTCATCTTGAGATTCAATGAGTCATTGTGCCTTCTTTCCTGTCCTTGCTGCGTCGTTGTTCTCATGTTTGTTGCCGTCGTTGCCTTCATGAACGTCACAGCCATGGCCAATATCCGTGCTGTCCCTTTCACCTGTGACGCTTCTTCTTGTTCTTGTCCTTGCTGTTGTTGCTTTGTTGTTGCTTTGTTGTTGCTTTGTTGTTGCTGTTGCTGTTGCTGTTGCTGCTGCTGCTGCTGCTGTTGTTGTTGTTGTTCCCCACATCACTGTGTGGGGTTCTTGTTTTTCGCTTGGATCCCGCCGATGCTCCGCTCCTTCGCCTCCGCCCCCTCCTCCTCCGCCGCCTCCTCCTCACTCACACTCACCACTCATCACTCACTCACTCACTCACCACTCACCACTCACTCACTCACACTCACCACTCACTCACTCACTCACTCACTCACTCACACTCACTCACTCTCACTCACTCTCACTCACTCTCACTCACTCTCACTCACTCTCACTCACTCTCACTCACCCTCACTCACTCTCACTCACTCTCACTCACTCTCACTCACTCTCACTCACTCTCACTCACTCTCACTCACTCTCACTCACTCTCACTCACACTCACACTCACTCACACACACTCACACTCACTCACACTCACTCACACTCACTCACACTCACAATCACTCACAATCACTCACACTCACACTCACACACACTCACACTCACACTCACACTCACACTCTCACTCACTCTCTCTCTCTCTCACTCACTCACTCTCACTCTCACTCTCACTCTTACTCTCACTCTCACTCACACTCACACTCACACTCTCACACTCTCACACTCTCACACTCTCACACTCTCTCACTCTCTCACTCACTCACTCACTGACTGACTGACTCACTGACTCACTGACTCACTGACTGACTGACTGACTCACTCACTCACTGACTCACTGACTCACTGACTCACTGACTCACTGACTCACTGACTCACTGACTCACTGACTCACTGACTCACTGACTCACTCGCTCACTCGCTCACTCGCTCACTCGCTCACTCGCTCACTCGCTCACTCGCTCACTCACTCTCACACTCACTCACTCACTCACTCACTCACTCACTCACTCACTCACTCACTCACTCACTCACTCACTCACTCATTCACTGTACAGATAGCTTCCTGGCTGCCTTTCGTGTGGCACGCGCAGTACACAGAGCCTCCAGGAGGAGCTGGGCCGCAGCTGCCTTTCGTGTGGCCGGCGCAGTACACAGAGCCTCCTTACTTCCCTCGTGCGTGGCAGGCGCAGTGCACAGCTTTCTGGAGGAGCTGCGGCGCGGTGGCTGCCGCTGGCCCGCGGCTGCCTTTTTTTGCCTGGCAGGCGCAGTAAGCGTCCGCACTTCAGCCTCCGCACTTCTCTTTTGCGTGGCACGCGCAGTACACAGAGCTTCCTGGCGGAGCTGCGGCGCGGTGGCCGCCGCTGGCCCGCGGCTGCCTTTTGCCTGGC